TGACACATTAAACAATATCGATGTGCAAACACTATTCTTGTAGATTTGTATTGTTTACATAGGTCACTCTGTATTGCTTTGCATCATTTATTGTGTACCTTTATATTTTTTTCTTTATTATTTCTTTTGTGTAACCTCATTGTGTACCTTTCTTATGTACGAAAGCGATGATACATACTCTGCAAATTACTGTGCTCATGTGTTCATGAAATATTCCTTTTTGTTTGTATACCTTGGCCTGTCATTTACTTTGTCTTCTGCTTGTATTGTTTTCTTGCTTTATAATATTTGTTTTTTCATTTTATTGTATTTCGTTTTTACCCTGTCATTGCTGACGTAGGGTGGACGATGCTTAGTCAAGCTGCAATAACTGCAGCTTTTTTGCCGTCTCCCCATTTTTCGCCTTTGTATCTGTTTTGGTGAAAATAAAAAATAAAATAAATAAAAAATAATTAAAACACCGAGCTGTCTAAAAGTCCACGGTCTTCTGCAGCAGAAAAAAGATGGTAGCTTATGATTCTGCATGGACTATCGCTGGCTCAACAAAATAACGAAGAAGGACGTCTACCCTATTTAGCGAATAGACGACGCATTGGATCGGCTGTGCCATGCAAAGAACTTTTCATGTATGGATCTTAAAACTGGCTACTCGTAGATTGAGGTGGATGAAAAGGACCAAGAAAACTGCATGCATCACACCAGATGGTTCGTACCAATTCTAGGTTATGCCATTTGGCCTTTGCTCCGTACCTGCCACTTTCCAGCGTGTCATGGATACAGTGCTAGCTGGGCTAAAGCGGCAAACTTGTTTGGTGTACCTTGACGATGTTGTAGTGTTTGCACCCAACTTCGAGGAACATCTTTGGCGACTGGAGGCAGTATTCCGCGCTTTAAAGACTTCTGGACTGACGCTAAAGAGAGAAAAAGGCCGATTCGCCTACCGCAAGCTCCCGTTTCTCGGCCATGTTATCAGTGATGCAGGAGTTCTGCCAGATCCAGACAAGACTGCCACTATTCGCAAATTCCCGCAGCCCCGCATCAAAAAAAAAAGTGTTCAAAGTTTCTTGGGACTGTGCACATACTATAGGCGTTTCGTTAAAGGTTTCTCCCAAATGGCCGAGCCGCTCGCACGCATCACAAAAAATGACGTCCCGTTTGTGTGGCAAGAATCACAGCAGCAAGTTTTTTACGAGCTGCAACGTTGCCTACAAGAACCACCTGTTCTTGTGCACTTTGATCATAACGCTGAAATCGAGATTCACACTGATGCCAACAGTACTGGGCAGCAGCAAGTTTTTTACGAGCTGCAGCATCGCCTACAAGAACCACCTGTTCTTGTGCACTTTGATCATAACGCTGAAATCGAGATTCACACTGATGCCAACAGTACTGGGCAGCAGCAAGTTTTTTACGAGCTGCAGCATCGCCTACAAGAACCACCTGTTCTTGTGCACTTTGATCATAACGCTGAAATCGAGATTCACACTGATGCCAACAGTACTGGGCAGGGCACTGTCTTTGTGCAAAAACAAAACGGCCAAGAACGAGTGATCGCTTACGCCAGCGGCTCCTTGGTAAATGAAGAAGTAAATTATTATACAACCGAGAAGGAATGTCTGGCAATAGTGTGGGCCTTATCCCAATTTCGACCACACATCTACAGCAGACCATTCAGCGTCGTTACGGATCACCACTCACTCTGCTGGTTAATGAACATAAAAGACCCGGCAGGACGTCTTTACGCCTAGAAGAGTTTGACATGACTGTTGTACACAAGAATGGTACAACACATTTCAACGTGAACTGTTTGTCACGTGCACCGACAGAGCAGCCTTCGTCTAACGGCAGCTGGAATTTTCTCGGCACAGTAACAAGCTCAAGCCTCGCCGCAGAACAGCGTAATGACCCGAAACTACAGGGCATCATCGAGTATTTTGAAAGAAGCAGAAGAGATATTCCACGACTTTTCAAGCACAATGCTTCAACGTTCTGTTTACAGAATGGTCTTTTAGTGAAGAAGAACTTCAAATCGATCAGTACAGCGTACCTTTTGATTGTGCCATCGTCCTTGCGGTCGGAAATTCTGCTGGCCTGTCATGAAGGGCCTGTATCTGGACACCTCGACGTCACACGGACTCTGTCCCGGATTTGAGCAAAATACTACTGGCCTCACCTTGCAGCAGACGTTTCCCACTATGTGCGAATGTGTCGGGAATGCCAACGTTGAAAAACACCCTCCACCAAACCAGCCGGGATCCTAAAACCGATAGCACCTGCTACAAGACCATTTCAACAGATCAGAATGGATTTCCTTAGGCCATTTCAGACGTCGTCGACAGGAAAACAGTAGATCTTAGTGGCAACAAATTATTTGACATGCTACACAGAAACACAAGCACTTTCAAGAGCCACCGCTCAAGAAACTGCCATATTTTACGTCAATAGCATCATCCTGCGTCATGGTGCACCAGAGGTGATCGTTACTGACCGAGGAACGGCCTTCTGCAGTGACCTTATGCAAGCAATATTGCAGTAAACCAGACCAGTCACCCTAGAACGACCGCATACCATCCACAGACTAACGGCCTTACAGAGCGGCTCACAAGACAATGGCTGACAGGCTGTCAATGTGCGTAGACAATGAGCACACGACATGACACCAAGTGCTACCCTACGTAATGTTTGTCTACAACACGCGTTGCAAAAGACCAGAAAAATGAGTCCGTATATATCCTTTTGTATGGGCGAACACCTACAACACCTGATGCCATGGTGCCTCATGTCTATGTCAGTGACGTGAATTCCGAGGTATCACAATATTTGTGTCGTGTCGAAGAGGCTTGCCAACTCGCCTGCCTATAGTTAAAGAGGCAGCAAGAAGTAGATGCTCAACAATACATTTTGGACGACGGCAGCAAGAGTACGCTCCCGGTGAGCTTGTGTGGCTGTGGGCACCTAATCGCCGGCGCGGACTGAGCCAGAAGCTCTTTTTAACGTTACTTTGGCACATACAAAGTCCTACGTCATTTCAGTGAGGTGAACTACGAGACTGTCCCCAAAGGTGCGATGAAGCGGCAGCGGCGTTGTTCTCGACTTGAGGTAGTTCAGGTTGTGCGACTGAAGCCTTTTTACGTACGGTAGAGAACCGATTTATTTGTGTGCCAAATCTCTGTGAGGAACCTTATGCTCGTGTCCGCAGCACTAGTCTGAATTCATTTTTTAGTGTGTTTCTTCTACAGCAAAAGCTGTTATGAGATCACTTTATGGGTCACGCACAGTTGTTATTGTCCGCTGCCACAGCAGGTGTCTGTAACCACATCGCACGAAATTACAAAAAAAAAAAAAAACTTGCACTAATGACACGGTGGGGCTTGAACCCAGGTCCACTGGGTGCCAGCCCAATATTCTACCAATGAGTTACGCTGTAGCTTGTACCTTGTTGTCAACTTGCCTTAAGCAGGCATGACCTAGCACCGATGGCACAGTGGGGCTCGAACCTGGTCCGCTGGGTGCCAGCCCAGTATTCTACCACAGAGCTACACCGGTGCTTGGGACTTGTCAAACTTGCCTTAGGTAGGCTTGATGTTGAAAAAGCAATTGCGTTGATACGACTTATAAAGTGTTTTACAACAGCGAAAAAACAACCATGGAGTCACACATGAAAATAGCGTAACGAGTGGGTCGTCCAATGCTCCAACCCATCACAAAAGTTTGTTTTTGTCCCGCTATTAACTGTGACGCATAACTTCAGGCATAATTCCCATCGTCCTCAGCCACTGAATGAACAACTGGCACGAAATTCCTCGCAATAGTTTAGCGAATACCACGCTTCTCAGAAGAATGACGAAAAATAGCATAGTGAATGCCGGCCTACTACCCAAAAGTTTATTATTAATGCCCTAGTGGGTACCAAGCAAGTGTACTTGCAGTAGTTACCCAATGAGTGTATTGAAAAGGCTCTGAAAGGTCGCTCTTCTAGCTTTCGCTGTGACTGTGCTGTGCCTACCGCGCAGGTCTGGCATTTGTTTGCACAGCCTATTTATTTTTTTTTCTTGTGAATGTGCTTTATTATCTACTTGCATCGAGGCAATGCTGTTTTTTTTTTTTCAGGGGGGATAGTGTCACGTGTGTATCCTTGGATGGGTTGTGAAGTGATAAGGACTGTTTGCCATAAATTGTGACCTGCACATCTTATCGAATTTCGCGATAATGATAGGTGGGCTCGCTAAATGAGCTGCGGGCAGTGAAAAGATTCGATTTCTTCTTTTGGGTAGATGGGCGCTCGCTAGGCTTGGGGCAGAGCCGTTGCACTGTATTTGCTTTTCGTTGAGGGAGCACAAGTTCGCTCCGAATAAACTATGTTGTTTTCTTGTACCTTCATCGTCTGTCAACTTCACGTACGAGCCGTACGTGACAATATGCCTTCATTTCGAGTGGCTTGATCGCTTGTACAGGAGATTAGGAATAAAAAGAACACTATATTAAACCAACTTTATAATTTTTCAATATATATATGGTGGAAGTTACCAACAAAAAAAACAATAATTGCAAAATTTATATTTTAAGTATGCTCTTTTTGCCTGTTTATCTTAAGAAGAGCCTTAGGCTTTGATACTATGAAGCATATTTTTTTACATTACTTATATTTCATCAAGAATAAAGTGTATGATTCCATCATTAGAACACTTATGATGTTATGAAGTGCCTAATGGCCATTTCGAACCAAGTAGTAGCACAAAAGACTCGATAGCCTCATTAAAAAATGGGCAAATTTCAGTTGTATGTACAGAAGCCCAGAAACCCTGTACAGATAAATATGCAGAGTTGCTTGGATCGTAGAAGTCATGATGAAATATTAATTGTAAACAACAAATGACCCAACCACATGACCTAAGCCTAGCAACGCAATTCGTTCACAAGCACTATGCTTTTCAGAGTGCATTTCACCCAAGAAACAGCACATTTAGTTCTCATCCACCGAAATCGGATCATTACCATACCTGATCTTGGAGATGTTTGTCAACACAAACATTGTGTTTCAGTTCCTGGCAGAGCTCTTCCGCTGCTGCTTGTCCAACAGCTTCAGCCATCACACCTGCATACAAATCACAATAGGCTCACTCGTTACAAGTAAAGGGCCCACAACCACGGTGTAAGGTTACTCGACACGGTGAGTGATCGTGGCAAAGCTTTGTACGGTAAACGGGGACAGCCAAATACCAAGGGCACTCATGCAATTGATAGCGACAGCCACATCATAGTTTCATAAAGAAGACGCTGCCCCATCGTCGCGAACAAAGTGAAGTGCGCCAGCAAATTTACACATGGTATATTGGCCCTCATGTGCCTGGTGGTGGTGGTGAACCTTATTTATTTATTTATTGGACATTTTTTGCAGAGAAGCTCCGGGGAGGTTCTTGGGCATGCGGTGAGGGGGCGGGGGGGGGGGGGGGGCTTAGTTTAGGGCTTCGCTTGCAGCAGCTGCTCGGCGGGCCGGCTCGATCAGACTCGGCTGATCTTCCAGGTTCTCGCTGGCCAGCAGCCATTTCCATTGCTTTGCTGTGGGGTCTGTATTGGCGCTAAGGCTGTAATAGCTCCCTCGTGACGTGGTACAAGGGGCTTTAGCTGAGCATCATGGGCAGTGACGAGAGTATGCCGAGGGATTGCATTTACTCAGGGTGTGCAAATTTAGAAACGTGCCAGTTTGAGTTTGCCTCCAGCTGACCGATTCCTCTTTATTTAGAGTCTGGCGCTGTAGGGAATAAGCTTGCCTAACTCATCTGTAATGGTTTATAATGGCTGAAGAGTCGCAAGAGATGGGAAATGGTTCCACAGGGGCGGAGTTGGAAGGAGCTCGGCTCAGATACCCTTGAGCTACCCTATTCACTGCCTAGTTTCTCGCCAGTCCCATGTGACCCAGGGTTCATATAATCCGATGCCAAATTCTGGGTGGGTGTGTATTGGGATGCTTACCAGTGTCTATAGCGCTCAGGATAATATTAAAGGTGGGTTGGCTGATTGTGAGCCAATGTTTTATCTCTCCTTCACACAACGTGCCCACAAAAGAGGTATTGGTTACAGCCAAAGTTGCCACATGCTACAGAGCTATCAAACAGAGGGCCCCCCCCCCCCCAAAAATGCCCCAAAAAAGCGCACAACATTTACAAAGCCCGAAAAAAATCGGCAATCTACATAATTAATTTTTACATTTCTTAAATTTTTATAATTATAATAAATAAATTTCACTCAAATACACTCAAACCATGCAACAAACGTAAATATAACGAAATATAAGTTAAAACAAAGTAAATGAACAACACTTTAGCCATACAATGCTTCAAATATAAGTATGTGTTTATAACAAATTTTTGGATATAACTAATTACAGTGGAAACTCGCAGTTACGTTCTTAACTGCTGCGTTTTCTCGTCTGTTACGTTGTCTTTCGTCGCTACCGGCATAGCTCTCATAGAATCCCACGTATTGCGATCACTGCTGTTATGTCGCAACTGTGAGAACGTTCCTACATGATGCATCGCAACCTAGCCCGACGAACCCGCCTGGGCACAGGCGATGACTGCCATCTTTCTTAGGCACCAAAACAATTGGAGACACCCAGGAGGTAGACAAGCGACAAATAATGCTAGCCACATGCATGTCATCTAGCAACCCGTCGATAGTCTGCTTTTGGCAAGACTGACGGGCCTGGGGTTACACTTCAAAGAAAGTATGTCGCCAGTTTCGATCACGTGGCTCACAAAATCGGTGCAGCCTGGTTTATCGGTGAAGAGCTCGTCGTACCCATGTAACAGTGTCGACAGACGAGCCTTCTGTGTATCATCAAACTGAGTCGCGCAGGCGACCAAAGGATCTAGTGCCTCTTCGTGTCGTGTCTGTCGATCCAAACAGGGGTTTCGAGCTGAAGGGCGCGGAACGCCAGGGTATGACCCCGAAGTTGGCACACGACAGGGTTCGTGCCGTGCTTCTCGCTCCCGAAGGAGGCTGTGAGAGGACGAATGCATTGAGCAGGGGCTTGGCCCTGAACTCTGCGCAGGGCACGTTTCCGACGCTTCTGCGCAAAGGCAACGGTAAGCGCGGTGGGCTGATGAACAGCTTGAGCTGGCAATAAAGGCCATCACAATAGCCGCCATTCGCAATGTCCACAACGATCCCGGGTTTAGGGAAAAAGTCCTGACCGAGAATCACTGGAACATTAAGCCCTGGAAGATGAACAAGAAGGCAGCGTCTCATTCGGTCTCCTCATCTGATCTGACAGTCAACCTTGCAGCGCCTGCCGAATGGCTACGCCTTTCGCTAGGGTGAATGTCGTTCGGCTGTCCCGCAAGCGCACTGAGTGCTTCTACAAGTGGGACAACACCTGTTCGCCGAACGATGAGGCGCTAGCGCCCGTGTCCAGCAACGCCGAAAACGCACAGCCGGCAATATTGACCAGAATGAACAGCACGTACGCATCAGCAAGAAAAGTGCTTGCCCTGCACGCAGAGGGAATAAGCAAAAGTTCGGTCGCTCATACCTTCACGAACAACCCGCAAACCCGTTTCCCTGCCTTGCAGGAGGCCTGAATCCGGTGCACTTCTTTGCTATGCGCCCTCGTTCATGGCAGCGGTAGCAGCGCACTCCATCACGGTCTATTTTCCCAGACAGAGTTGCCACTAGCTGTCGTAATCGTCTCGCTACGTTATCGCAGGATACGTTTCTGCGAGCGTCACCTCCCACATTACATTGGGTTGGTAAGCGTCCCTGTGTGAAGGTTTCAAGGGGAGCAGCGCAGGCTGCCCGCCTTTCATGGTATAGGGATCGAGAGCGCGATCGCTCAACTCCCACGCGTAGCCGGTGGTAACCGTAAAGGCGGCGTCGAGAGGCTGTTGCCATTGGAGAAGGGTCATGGCCCCTCTCCAAGCGCAGCGCAGCTCAAGGGCATCGCTGGCTGGCGGCGGCGGGCGATAGGCACACGCACCGTGAAAGTCGCCTTGAATGCGCTTCGATTGATTGATATGTGTGGTTTAACGTCCCAAAACCACCATATGATTATGAGAGACGCCATAGTGGAGGGCTCCGGAGATTTCGACCACCTGGGGTTCTTTAACGTGCACCCAAAACCTGAGCACACGGGCCTACAACATTTCCGCCTCCATCGCAAATGCAGCCGCCGCAGCAGGGATTCGAACCCGCAACCTGCGGGTCAGCAGCCGAGTACTTAGTCACTAGACCACCGCAGCGGGGCCTTGAATGCGCTTCGCCTCGGTGACTAACTCCTCCAAATCGCCGAAGCAGCCGTCGCGCAGGTATGCCGAAAAATGCGAATGTGCCTGCCATACCACCCGTTCGATGCGCTCCTCGTTCTAGGCTCGGGGCTCAGCGATAGAGTAAAGTTCATCCATCGCGCATACATACTCCTGTAAAGAGTCATCAGGAGCTTGTGTACAGAGCTTGAGCTCTAGCCGCATCCAACTTTCGTAGTCAGGGGGTAGGAATTTGCGCAAAAAGCTTGTGCGGAACTCTTTGAGGGTTGCTGCACGGTAACCGGTAAGCCGATACCATCTCGCCGCCGTGTCAGTCAGCGCAGCTGGAACAACGCGTTTGAACACCACTTGATCATCCAAACTCATTGCTCTCTGATAACGAGACAGAGGGTCGAGGTAATCTCAGGCAGTGAGCTGATCACCGTATCCGCTGTAAGTTGGCACACCCAACATAACAGCGGGTGACCGCTTTTCGGACTAGCCGAAAACATTCGCACGCCCCCCAGAGAGTGCTTGGATTATCTGCACGACGTTTTGCAGCTACGTCTGCATCGTCGAACCGGCTTCGCAGGAAGCCGTCGGCGCGGTGGAGCGAAGGTGAGCAGTCTCCCAGCTCGAGCAGTGTGGCGGTTTCAAACGGACCACCGCCTTGCGCGCCACTCCCAAAGCAAAAGAGGCTGCTTGTGGTATTTGCCTGCTGTCGAACATAATGCCCACTTGGAGCGGCTACCGACGAATATTCAGGCACCTGCTCAGCGTGCTGATTGATTGATTGATATGTGGGGTTTAACGTCCCAAAACCACTATATGATTATGAGAGACGCCGTAGTGGAGGGCTCCGGAAATTTAGACCACCTGGGGTTCTTTAACGTGCACCCAAATCTGAGCACACGGGCCTACAACATTTTCGCCTCCATCGGAAATGCAGCCGCCGCAGCCGGGATTCGAACCCGCGCCCTGCAGGTCAGCAGCCGAGTACCTTAGCCACTAGACCACCGCCGCGGGACACCTGCTCAGCGTGCGTTCGAAGTGTCGGTTGCACGGCTGACAGCGGACAAAAGTCGGCGAGGGCCAAAGCCTGCGCTCCGACATGTCGGCGAGCACTTTGCAGACGAACTGACATGCATGCTGACGGGCACATTAGCAGTTGGAGGCGCTTGTGCGTACCAATCGGGTAGGGCAAGAGGGCCATTTCGAAACGATGCACCATCTCCAAAGAAGCGGATAGGCGCCTCATGTCTTCACCGCAATAGGGGATGGCGACACGGATGAATGCCGAAGGGTTTCCCGTCAATAGAGGCAATGGCCTCCTAGTGTAATGCGGCATCCGCTAAAAGGAGCAGTGAACCAAAATCCCGTGAAGCAGAGATGTGAAATGAGCCTGAATCACACAGGCTAAATGACTCGCTAAGAACAGTCAAAAGCTTTGAGCTTTTGATACCGCATTGGGCGCCAGTGTAACTGGCCCACGTTGGGCACCAGTGTAGTGTACACATATCCTGAAGGAGTACAGCCACTAGCATGGGTCCGGTCTTAGCAAGCTTGAGGGCACGTGTTAACCGTTGCTATGGTGAGAATACGGTACTGCTCAAGGTGGCAACACTTTATTGTCTGCGGCAACACCAAAACGCTGTACAGAGCCCGCTGCAAAAGTGCGGCGGAAAAGCAAATGGGCTTATCCACGCCACAGGCGAGAAGTACTACACAGGGGTGCTGCGAGCACGTCTCCGTGGGCACGGAGACACCGGGACAAAGGGCCCGGTTGCTCGAGCGAGGGGCAATAATGGCATCGCATAAGTCGAAAGCGTTTTCCCTTGAGGAAAACTTGGACGTACTTAAAGCAATTGACAAGCACAGCGAAACTGACTGTCACAGTGAAAGCTAGAAGAGGGGCTTTTCACAGCTTTTTCTAAACATCTTTGGGTAACTGCTACAAGCACACTGCTCAGTAATCACTACACCATAATCATAATTTTTGTGTAGTAGGCCAGCATTCACTATGCTATCCTTCGTCATTCTTTAGAGAAGTGTGTATCAGCTACACACTTGTTAGGATTTTGTGCAATTTCTTGTGCAGTGGCTGACCGACAATGAATTATGCCAAAAGTGGGTATGTGCCACAGTTAACAGGTGATAAAGAACAAGTTTTCTAATAGGTTAGAGTATTAGACAACCCACTCGTTCCCAATTTACACCGTGTGATGCCTGGCTGTTCCTTTCATGTTCAAAATGCTTTCTTACTCATATTAACAAAACCCCTTTCCCGGCATCAGCTTGCCTAAGGCCAATTTAGAAACAAGTTTCAAGCACTGGCATGGCTCAGTGGTATAATACTGGGCTGGCATGCAGCGGGAATTTTTTTTTTCTTTCGATACTGGTTACCGACACCGGCGACAGCAGTGGACAACTACCGCGCTGCGCGTTACCCGTGTTCTGATCTCATAACAGCTTTCATTGTAAAACGGTTAACAGAGAAAAAGCAAGTATGAACGCGGAAACAGCCGATGATTGGAAGTCCAGATTATCTGCTTTAATTGAGAAGTACGAGCCTCATGACATTTGCAACGCTGACGAAACAGGCCTCTTCTTTTGTGTGCAGCCATCGAAATCGTTAAGCCCGAAAGGCGAAGCATGCCAAGGAGGCAAATGCAGAAAAGACTAGTTGATGGTACTCCTTCGCTGCAATAAGGGAGATCGCCAAGTGTAAAAACCCATGGTGCTTGACAAACATACACCTGTTGTTATGCCACTACAGAAGTAACAGTCGTGCCTGGATGACGTGCACTTTGTTTGAAGCGTTTCTTTGATGCTTCAATAATAAGATGGGTTCACAGTGCAATTTTGCTGCCCACCCGAGAGATCTTGTTTGTTTTTTTCCACCAAATATGACAAGTCACTTGCAGCCGTTCGATGCAGGGGTCATAAATGCGTGAAGCATTCATACAGAAAAAGCATCAATATGTGCTGTCTCGCGCGTATTGATCGAGCACAGCAGGCTACAACAACTTCTGTACTTGACGCCATGCATTATGTCGTATCAGCACGGAGTGTAGTGAGCGCGTCAACTGTAATGCACTGCTTTGCGAAGTGTGATTTCAGTATGGACCAGCGAAGGGGACTCTGCCATCGAAGCTCAACAATCGAAAGCAGCCTCTTGTGAGCAGAAGCTCAACGAGGCGATGAATGCACTGGGTGCCATGGGTACGACGTACAAGGACTACGCTGTGGATGCTGCTGTCGTGACGTCGGAGTGCCAGACAATCGCAGAGATCCTTGCAAACTCGATCGCAACTGAAGATAGGACATCGATGACGACGTCGAGTACGAGCCACACGATTTGAAGAGTTGACAGTGGAGCTGGCCGATCTTAACTTTGGAGAAGCCGTCGTGGCCCTGGACTACCCTTGCTGGTATGTCCCACACCATAACGACACTGAAAGCAATGCGGCCTTCCAGATTATTGAGAAATGCGTGGTGCTTACCAGCGAGCGAAAGAAGTGGCAGTCAACTATCTCCAAATATTTTAAGTCTTAGGCTCACTTTGCCGAAATAAATTGTTTGTAGTCAAAGTGCCTGTGCTCTCATTCATTTTCGCAGCATTCCTCACTCTTGCGTTTTCCTCGGCTGTTAGGTTTTCCTATCCAGTCTGCTGAAAAATGTAGAAACAGGGTTCCGCTAATTTTTATGGCAGGTTCGATTTCGTTATGACTCCCGAGTACACGAAGAGGAGCTGAAAATATCACTAATTATATTGTGCAACAAAATTATGTTTAACAATGAATGAAAGTGCATGTTTACTTGTTATTATTGAATGACAACACCTTGGAATTAGTTGTGGTGTAGTTTGTGAGTTTGATAACCATGTCACAACGCTGGCATGTTCCTCTTTCTGTTTCAAACTCCCGCTCACAATATTCTTCACCCAAATAATTAGAAAAGTAACCATGTTACACATCTTTTTGTCCCAGATTACTGAGTGCTTTGCTTCATTTCATAGAGGACCTGCGCTTCCTTGTATGTGCATTTTCTAATGTGTTGACACTGCTGAAAAATCCAGGAGTGCAACAGCCAAAATAGAATTTAGAGCAATTTTTAGAGCAGTAAAATGTTGCTATTGGAACACGAAATCCAAATTAGGAGCAGGTTACGGAAAACAAAACATTCATTTTATCACAAAAAAACAAATTTGAAGCAGTATGAACAAGAAGTCTTACATTTAGAAAAAAATTATGCACAAATCATTCAAAATGCTCTAAATCGTGTGTGTAAGGAAATAAAATTTGTGATACGAACCTCCTCACTGAGTAAGTAATGATAACTTCCACATTAACATTTGCCGCGTCTGACTCTGCGAATTCACATCTGGATATGCCAAGCTGGCAAGCTTGAAATTCAGATTCATAGGGGTGGCGAAAAAATAAGAACTGGCACATTTGTATCAGGGCGTCAAAAATGTCCTACACTGCACCAAATAATTGTCAGTAACTTTTTCAGACATCATCTATTGTACTAGTACTCACAATTATGCGCCATATACAAGCATGAGTAGTTGAACAAAATGTGCCGAGTCCTGTGATTAACGCTAACAGCCCTTTCAAAATCAATCGCGCTTTTCCGCAGGGCACCTCTGTACTCCGGCGAAGGTGGATTAAGCAGCATTCTGCATGAGTTAGAACAAGTCGTAAAACATTGATAAGCCCCCCCCGCCCCTCTCTCTTTCTTTCTTTTTAAAGACGATAGACTTTCTTGGGGACCTTCGACGCAAAAAATTTCGGTCTGTCTGTCTGTCTGTTTGTCTGTCTGTACATTTGTCTGTTTGTCCACTCTTACCGGCATCGTGAACTTGAAACGGCCGACCCCATCCACAGCGACCACCAATGTTGCTCAAGGTTGAGCGTTCATGCTTAGCAATTGTCAATTAAAAAGCAATTATTGCGCATGTCTGGGGCACCATAACAACAAGCATATATTATGCATATGCATCTAAGTCTAGAAAACGCATACATAAGTAATTTTAAGGACCGTAGCGCTTATCACGCTGTGCTTACCATGCAAGACTTGCACGGAACGGGGAGAGTTTCCAACACTTTGCTAAGACGAGATGGTGGTAGCACCTACCCGTCGCCTCGCGTTCTACAGCTTATCACCTCTGAGACGGGCGTGCACGGCCACGCGCTGTTTTTCGAAAAGAAACTACCAGATGGCGCTCATGTCTCACGTGTGACGTGACTTGATCTGTTCGCGCGCAGGAAACGCGGCATATACTTCAAGTTTTAGTTGATAACATGCCATAGCCATGTTTGTTGACTAGGAAGTACATATTTCCCACAAAGAGTTGGTGGTTACAGGAACGCTTTTTTGTTTTCAAGTTGCGTCGCCCTCTGATAGGTATCCGCAGTAGTGAGCGGTCCGATGGCACGCCGCTTTGATACCTTATCTAATTGATCGCGAAAGTGCCAAGTGCCCTGACCTAATGGGGATATATCTTACACCGTGGTTTAGGGTTAGGTCTGAGCGCTTGGACTAATTGACGCAAACTGCAACCAGATAGCTAACGTGGCCGCCGTTTCTCGCTGAAATTAGCACAACTGAGAAAACTTCAAGGCTGGTTGGGAGCATTTTAGCTGGCTGGGAACTTAAGCGAACTTCATGGTTTTGGCGCAGCTATGCGCAAGAATGGGGAACTGTATCAAATCAGTGCAATTTATGTAGCTGTTGCACCCCTGCAAATCTATTGTATATAGAAATGGCTGTGAGCAAGTGTGAGGCTCGACAAATACTGGTAAGATATTTTGTTGTGATAATAAAGCCAACTTTTTCATGGCGCACCTACCGACAGTGTCACTAGCTTGACGTCAGGCCACAGTACGAGTTCTGGCAACTTCACGCAGCAGTATGGCTAGCTGTGGTGACATCAGGCCCTAAAGCTTTCAAAATGGCCACTTGCGTGTCACAAACAGAGCCACGGTGTGGATCAGCTGTGGAAACGTCTATATCTTTCCAGAGCACACGACAAGAAGCTTAGAAGAGAGCTGAGCTAGTTGATACGTGTTTGCTCTAAAAAACAAGGCATTCAAACACAAGAAAAAAGTCATGCTTTGGCGTCCCGACTTTCTTCATGTGTCCACTTGAATAATTCATACCTTGTAGTGACGTCAGGGGTATACAGTAGAAACCAAAACTAGTTTCATAAACACACTGTCAATACTTTCTTTAGTGTGCACTAACACTTATCAGGACATTTTCTTAGCCCTTGAAGGCTTAGTCTCTCATTTGACACAAGAAAATTAGCACTGAAAATTTCTGCAACAGGATGCCTTAAGCATATCCTGAAAATTGTCAATGCAGTCACCCTACCTCGTTTTCCAAGTGCACTGCCAGCAAGCTTCATCCCAGTTGAAGACTCTGCAACCAAACTGTGGATAAAAAAAATAATAAACACAACACCTAATATTGGTGATTGTATGTCAACACAGAGAAAATAATAAATGACAGGTTAATGTCCCAAAACTACGATACGATTATGAGAGATGCCGTAGTGCAGGGCTCCGGAAATTCCTACAACCTGAGGTTCTTTACCTAAATCAAAGCACACAGGCCATTGTTGGCGACATTAGAAATGCACAGCTGGGATTCGATCCCTGCAGTGAAGCACCATAACCACCGTTACACACACACACACATTTGGTTTGACATCCAGCAAAAGGAAGCCCACAAGCAGAAAGGCCTCACACCACAAGCTCAACATTATGGGGCTTAGCTTTTTGAACTACAATCAAATCTAAGCCATCAACAGTATGTATGTTGAATTCTCATAGACAAACGATGACATGTTCAAGTATTACCGTAAAATTCCAAGCAAGCCTCCCCCCCCCCCCCCCCCAGAGATTGATTGATTGATATGTGGGGTTTAACGTCCCAAAACCACCATTTGATTATGAGAGACGCCGTAGTGGAGGGCTCCGGAAATTTTGACCACCTGGGGTTCTTTAACGTGCACCCAAATCTGAGTACACGGGCCTACAACATTTCCGCCTCCATCGGAAATGCAGCCGCCGCAGCCGGGAATCGAACCCGCGACCTGCGGGTCAGCAGCCGAGTACCTTAGCCACTAGACCACCGCGGCGGGGCCCCCCCAGAGATGGTGATAATGACCGAGGTGAAGGGAAGGGGCGCTTACACAGAAATGCTGCAGAATTCAAGACTGCGGCCGGTCGTTTTTTTTTTTTCTAAACAATGATAATGGCTTCTTACAACGATGTACAGAGTGAACAAAACCTTTATTGGGTATTCACTTTCAAATCCATCGAAGGACCCGTCAGAGTCGGTGTCAAACAACAGACTGTAGCAGCCAACAGTTCCTCGGGACGTTGTGGACGAATGTGGCCAACGCCAGACAACCAGCTGTGTAGAAGGCCCTGCTCAGATTCGTCCAGTGCATTCAATGTTTTGCAGTTCTTGAAACTCTGAATAATGCTCGCCTCTGGTACAGCATCCATGCTGCGTCCACAAAATTCAGTATGTCCTGACGCGACAGTTCCCGTATATTTCCTTTCGGAGTTCTTTCTGCTCTGTGCATGAATTCCTCTCAGATCCTTCGAAGGCTGGCTTTGAAGAACCGGTTCCAGTACACGTTGGCTGGCTGCAATAGGTGCATTCAGCCGGCACATATGCAATGTCTATCTCGCTCCTTCACGGCATTCTTTCCTGCCTGCGATTCGTGAATAGGAGCATGGTCTCATACCAACAACCGCCTAATGTCCGGTGTTTGGACCCCACACCTGTGACAGCCACTTCTGGATTTTTTCGGATGTCCTCCGCCCGTTCTTTGATGCTGTCACATGGACGTTCACTATAAGAAAAAAATAACAACATAGCATGGTCTTGCTACCCCCACTAACAAGAAAAAAAAAAAAGAAATAGAAACCCACCTGGTACACGGATTTTCGTGAAAGCTTTCGTTGAAATCCTGCCGCTCGGCTCCTTCAAAATAACGAAGGGCGGAAGTTTGTGGCCTGACGTGCAAGCAGCGAGCGCGACTGTGAATCCTCACCTTGCACATCCAGCATTGGCGATCCGGACAGAACTTTCCCGATGATGTTTGTTCGAGATGACGGGCACTCTATGCGGACCATTGTCTGGTCCGTGTTGGCCATATTGAAAGGCATGTAGTTATGCATCAATCGCAACTCGTTAACGGACAACCGAAAAGGCACATGTGGCTTTTTGCGTAGTCATCCGGCGTCTTTTGGCTTTCATTCGTTGCCTGTCGCATGGAGATGCCGAAACGCTTCTTCCATCTGGCAATATAATGGTCCGACGCTACGAAGTTTTCGAGCTGCAGGCTCCTGGCTGCCCGCACAGCCTCTTCTGCAAGCAACCTGTCGCTAACAGCGCACCCGGAACTGCGCTCACTTTGAAAAAACTCAAAGAGGGCATCGTCGACTTCTTCGCTTAATAAGGGAGCACTGTTGCTCAGCTTGCGCTGTGACTTCGACTTGCCGAATTTTTGTTGCAGCAAGCTATATACTTGCTGTTTCACTCACGAATCCTCCTGCGATCGATGTTGAAGTGTTGCGAGGTCGCGTGCACATTGCTGCCACCTTGGCGATGCCACTGAACCACCTCAACTTTCTTCGTAACAGTGTAAGAACGCATCGACGGCATCGTGCAGCAAAGCCGACCACAAGGAACAACGAAAAAATACCGACTGGCTACGTTAACACATCGCACACACTCCAAGCCTAACGGCTATGGCTAAATCCAGCAATGGCTAAAGACGGAGCAAGGGCGCCAGTTTTTATAGGGGGCACTTTCTCAAAAGTGGGCGGCAAATTCAAATTCCCTAAACAAGGAGGAGGGGAGGGCGCTTGCTCAGGTTCTCACACATTCAAGTACACATGTTTTTATACAGTAATCAGTAATCACAGACCTGCTTATTTTTCTTTATGATACAGTCGCCGACCAATAATTCGGACACCAATAATTCGGACCAGCTCAGTTATGCGTTACAGCAGCCAGTCCCACACAGAAGTGGCTCCTGCGCAGCACAGAAATGGCGTCGCATAAAAAGTTATCTGAAAGCTATTTGTTTAAATATACAAATTACTTTTGTTGAGAGAGGGATAAAGCCCATCGTCCACCTCCTCTTTCTTCGAACATCGGGAACGTCAGGGCAGAGGATGTTGGAAATCGTACGCGGCGCCAACGTAAAAATGAAGAAGAAGGGTAGTGGAGTTGAGGCAGGATGAGTGGACTGAGTTTGGGTATGTTCGAATAAAGAGGAGGTGGACGGTGGGCTTCACTATGGGGATGAAGGCTCGTCCTTTTCTCATCAACTATTGCATAATGCATCGAACCTGCAAATATGTTGCTAAATAAGTGTTTGACGAATCTGTTAACGTATATTTGTTAATTAAACACATATCGCAAGCATTTAAATCTAGGAGGTGCCATGGGACGCTGCGGCTGCGAAAGGCAACAGTCGCAAAGATGGTAAGTGCAATGTGTTGATGATGTTTGATGTTTTGTGGCGCAAGGGCCATTTCATGGCCAAGAGTGCCAGTTCATCTTACTAGAGATATAATGATTGTGATAAGCGGCTGTATGAGGGCCTTAAAATTCCTCGCCCTAAGGTGAGTAAAAACGTAGAAGTAATAAAATCATGACCATGCTGTGAAAGGTGTGTGGTGTTAATGGATGACAAAAGTTTGTGATAATAAAACGATGGTGGACATGTATGGCATTAGCACAAGTGCCTCACTCGTTCACACCCTTGCGTCCAAGGACTGTGAGACAAGTGCTTTGTTGAGTGTAGCCATAGCAGCGGAGACCTCTCTAGAGAGGTCGTGCTACGGAATGCCCGGGTATATGATATGAAAAGTGCGAACCTATCTTAAAAAAGCTAACAATGATTTATGTGTAAAAAGTGGTTTCCTTCCGACAAACATTGCAGGGTGAAGTGGTATTTGCTGTCAGTAGGGTAATGGGAAGTGTTGTCTTCTTAGCGTGTCTAACTCTTTACACTGGATCAGAATGTGAAGTAACGTTAGTGCTTCTGGAAATCTTTCACACAAAGGTGGATCGTCACCAGACAAAAGAAATGAATGTGTAGTGTATGTATGTCCTGTTCTTAACCTTGTAAATATTACTTCTTGAGAAGTAACGTGAGTGCTTCTGGACATCTTTCACACAAAGGTGGATCGTCACCAGACAAAAGAAATGAATGTGTAGTGTATGTATGTCCTGTTCTTAACCTTGTAAATATTACTTCTGTGTGACGTTATTTTGATACTGGTGGCCAATGACCAAGTTGCAACTTGATGACAGGCAATTTATTACCTCTGTATGTGTCCCATGTGCTCTGCCAATAAACCCTGAGCTTTCGTTTTAGAAAAGCTTTCAAGTCAAGTGCAGGAAGTGGTATCGATGTATTGCTAGCCGTTTTGTTGGCGGATCCAGCTAGCTGGTCCGCCAGAACGTCACCTTGTATTTCGCGGTGTCCTGGCACCCAGCAGACTACAACATGCTGCTTGGATGAGTACACTGTAGCAGTAACAACTCTATTGAAAACTCCAGCAAATTCGTGGCCTGTAAATAGGCCACCACTGAGGACCAGAGCCCTGTCTCCTCGCCACTTCACGGGCTATCAGGATGGCGCACAGTTGGCACTGGAGGTTGGAGCTGCGCAGCGTGGCCGTCCACTACGCTGCACCTTCATCTGGGTGTGTGCGCCATAAAGTACTGCTGTTGGACGTATTGCATTTTCTAGATTCCTATGTGTGAATGCAATATGATTGCAACGTGGTGTTGTCAAAGGTGAAAGTGTCTTTGCTGCCAAGTACCTCATTTTGCTTGTCCCGAAGAGCAAAGTTGATGATGAAATAATGTTTTTCCACTGTTCATGTGGGAATGTCCGGATCCACATGACACCCAAATGCGGCTGCGAAGTGTTTTTACGAAGCCTGTGATCTCTGAAAGTCAAAGCTTCTGCATTGCAGGCTTTTTCGCTAAGCGAAAACACGTACAGCCGTTCTCATAATTTGTAATGTGAATGCTGCCGTGCTGTCACAAACCTGTTCGACACTGTTTATAGGTAAGTGGGCTAATGCAGTCGGCACTTGCCCTTGGGCATCGTTTATCAACTGCTGATCGCCTAGAACATTATGGTGGCATGTCAGTATTTTGAAGCGGCCTGCCGATTATCTTGTGAGGTGGTGACTGTGTGCTGAGCGACATAAAAAGGTTTTCCGTTGCATATTCTGCTAGCTACGGTGCAGTGCGCCTTTGTCATCAAAACTTGGATAAACCGTGCAATCAACATTCTTGATGCGTGTGCCAGAGAAACCGATGCAGCCAGCTGCATTCAAATCAGCGCCGCTGAGGACCATCACTTGGCAAACAGTTTATCATAATAATATAGCCACTTCTGTGAGCGTCATCAAACATCCAATATCAAAAGGCCTGTAGACAGGACCACGAGCAGCGCAGCAGCAGCAAGTCAGGCTGACGGAGGCCAATGGGGAGGTGCACTGAAAGTACTGAAAGTCGCGTCATGGAGTCATCGCATGCTGACTCGGCCAAGTCATGTCTCATTCGAACTATTCAAACAAAGCAACTAACCGGAAAAATGCATGATGTCACTTCCCTGCGGCGTAGCAGCCGTTCCTGTGTGGAGGTGGCTCGTGGCGCTGCACGGCACAGCAGTCTCTGCCTAATTCGGACAGTCGCATGGCACTGCCAATGGCCCCATAAAACTACTGTGTAAAGACTACCGATATTTCAGACTGCTTCCAGATCTGCACTCGATAATCTGCGCGCACACCGAATTGGCAGCCATTATCTCCTGATACCACACAAAGTATGGTCTTGGAGATGAAAAACGAAAGCAACTGGTGATTAATGAGGCTTTCCAATCTTGGAGGCACTGCTCAATTGTGGGAGGTAGTATCGCGAACATCCTATGTTCCGGTATTCCCGTGCTGCTACTGGCGCCATTCTGTCGCATGTGTCTGCGGTACTCCGTCCTGCTAAATTCCGCGTGCGTTCAGTTTTGTCTTGAGACCTGCTTTATTTTGCCTTCTGCTGTACCGAAATGTCTGTGTTAAATGACGTCAACCGATGCCTTCACAGCCAGCGCCGCCGTCGACAAATTGCGGCAGACATACACACGCTAATCATGGCAAGGAAAGATGCCAAAGCAAGGTTCTGTTTGGCGTTCATAAGTTTGTTGCCAGATAGAGAGGTCAGTGTTGCCAGACTGCCACCAGATATGGCAGATAATTTAGTCCCTGTAGCTGTGCCTTTCCTATGAAGGCTTTGTGCCGTCCACCACTGCATTTCACGAGTGCCTGTGCAACGTTCGCCGTTTTAATTAACAAGATGAATGGACAACACACGTTGCAGAAGTTCGGGCACGTTATCTTGCTGTGTGCACAGCTGTGTAATTAAGAAGTCAGCCTCGATAGTGTCTCAGAATCAGGGAATCAACCAACAATGATGCGTATGAGTACACGCTCAAGGGGAACTGAATTTGTGTGCCGTGTTTCAATACATCGAACACGTGTCGCCGAAGCTTGAAATATCTCCGCAGCTGTGAATACCTAGTCACAACACACAATGACGTGTTTTCTGAGGAAATTGAATAGAGTTGCAGCTGGCAGTGCGCTTCTTCCAACAGATTGTGCATGTCTCAGAAGTAGGATCTCTCTGCACAGCTGATCATGCCGCGTCGACCACGAGCAAGAATGGGGACGCTACCTCGGCTCCCCTCGCTGTGTCAACAAATTCATATCTTTTGTACTCGTGTATATACCGAAGGCTCTACTCGCACGTACTGAAAACAGGATCACGCCCAGTGAACTGGCATTGCCTGCGGGGGGACTCACACACTGTCAATACGTTGAGTGTTGCTCCTGTTACAGGGTCGATGAAAGTTGACAGTACTGTGGTTTACGGTGTGCCAGTCAAAATTTAGCAGCCTTCTATTGGCATCCACAATGGTGGGTATGCACTGGTACGTGGTCAAGCATGGCCGCATCCCTGTTGTTAACCTCGAACAGCCTCCGCTCCCTTCGTGGACACGCACAGCATACCGAAAATCTACAAGCCCGACAGACCGCTGCATGAATTATCCATCTTTGGCATGTTTAAGCCGAGTTCGAACGATGTGTATTGTTTTGACACAGCAGGGGAAGCTTAAAATCCCTGTTGTCGCGCGTCATCGACGTGACACGATCAAATGTGGAAAGAAACTCCCTACTTCTGAGACACGATCAGAAAAAAAAGGGAAGCAAACCACCTGCTATGGCTATTCAGTTTCCCCAGAAAACGCGTCGTGCGTAGTCGACTAGGTATGTACAGCTACGCAGATATTCCGTGCTTTGGCAACACGAGTCCGATGTATTGATAAGCGGTGCACTAATTCAATCCCCCTTGAGTGAGTACTCTTACGCATCCTTATGCGTTGATTCCCGATTCTTAGGCATGATCGAGTCCGACCTCTTAATAGCACAGCTGCGCTGTGCACACAGCAAGAGAACGTGCTCCGACTTTTCGGACCACGTTCTCCGTAAACGTACAACGAGCAACACACGTTGCACGTTTGTTCTGTTAATTAAAACAACCAGCGTCACACACAAACTCTGGAGACGCACCGCATCGAGCCCTCGCAATCCTTTCGTCGTCCTACCTGTGGTTCGACAGCGAGCATACCCACTGGCAGAAATACAGACGGACTTGGCTGCACGTAAGTGGAAGCGTGTGCAGCAACGCATCGACAGCTATTCCTGGCCTTCAGATCACTGAAGCATCAACAAAAGTACTTTTTTCTAACGCGTTAGTTTTATCAAACATTCGATAATTCTGACTTATTTGTGTTCCCCGTGAAATCTGAATTATCAGTCTTAGACTGTATGTTACATATACTACTCAAATTTCATTAATAACAAAGTTCATCTAACACAAAAATTAATTTGTTATATATGAAAATTCGTTATAAAAAGTATTCTTAACACTATCTATTAAGAAATTACATATTCATTACTTCATTATAACCAATATTTCGTTATATTTATGTTTATTATATTTAGATTAGAGTGTACTTGAATTCAACTCGAAATTATTTGACCAAACTACCATTAACTTCAAATTTACTTCAAACCAAGAACGCCAGGCCTGCGCGGATGGCACAGCACAGTCACAACGAAAGCTAGAAGAGCAGCCTTTCAGAGCCTTTGAAAACATTCATTGGGTAACTACTGCAAGCACACTTGCTTGATACTCACTAGATAATTACTAATAAAAATGTTTGGGTAGTAGGCCAGCATTTGCTCTGCTATGTTTCATCATTCTTCTGAGAAGCGTGGTATCCGCTAAACACTTGCAAGAAATTTTGTGCCAATTGTTCATGCAGTGGCTGACAACGATGAGGAATAATGGCTGAAGTGGGTGTGTGCCACATTTAATACAAGAACAAGAACAAGCTTTTGTAATGGGTTGGAGCATTGCACGACCCACTCGTTACCCTATTCGCATTGTGCGACGACTGGTTGGTCTCTCGCTGTTTTAAAACGCTTTATGAGTTGTATAAACGCGATTGCTTTTTTGACATCAAGCCTGCGTAAGGCAAGTTTGCCAACAAGTCCCAAGCACCGGTGTGGCTCAGTGGTAGAATACTGGGCTGGCACCCAGTGGACCCTGGTTCGAGCTCCACTGTGTCATTGGTGCTAGTTTTTTTTTTTTTTTTTTTCTAATTTCATGCGATGTGGTTACGGACACCAGCGGTGGCGAACAACTGCGCGTGACCCGAGTTGTGATCTAATAACAGCCTTCGCTGTGTAAAAAGCCTAAAAAGAATACAGGTGATAAGAAGCACGCACATTATACCGTTTCCTGTGCCAAAAGCCTTCTCCTCGGGTTCTTTGAGGCGTTCCACAGACACAGGGACAGACGACAGGAGTTGCTCCCTCAGAATGTCCACCGCCCGATCGGCCATCATGTGGGCCACCTATGAAGCAAGAGCATTGGCTGCTAAGTTTACAGCAGGGCAAAGGCCTGTCCCATATTCTGCCAATTAAACTGGTTCTCTGCTGCCACGCTATACCAGCTAATCTCCTCTGCCCACCTAATTTTCGTTGTCCCTCTCCCACATTTGCCTTTTCTTGCTATCCAGTCTGTTACCCTGATAATGTTGTTACCTGTCGGCAAAATTTGTGGAACTCACTCAGACTCACTGAAAGAGTATATCTTGTGCTTTAGACTCGCACTGAGGAAAAGTTTCTTGAACTAGACTGACTAGGACTAAAACTCACTATTATGTTACTCACCCAGACTCCAACTCAGACTCAAGACTGGATCTGAGTGAGTCAAAACATGAGCAAGTTTATCGACCTATGATAAGAAGTTAGCAATGTGAAGTGATGTTGCATGAATTGTGATCACTGTTTATGGTGAAAATATTTATTTTGTAAATGTGTGTGACAATATGCATTATATTTAGAAGTACCATGTTTACTTACATAATAGACACACTTCTTTTCCAGAAATTTCAGCTCCGAGTTCAGGCTGTGCCTGTTACGCGGGGTAACATTTCTGAAAATTTAATTTTTGACTATGGCATAGACTGCTGATAACATATGTCACCGAAGTCACACATATCCGCACTACAGCCAAAACAACCTGCTTGTAAGGCTACACTCTCACAAAACGTGTTGAGCATGCAGTCTCACATGTCCAAGAATCACGGCATGCAACGCGGTGCGATTTCAAATTTCAAGAAGCTAAAATCGAAAGATCTGTGGTGCCAACCAAAAATAACGTGAAAAAAAAACTACATAAAGAAAACGCCATCGCAGAAATTGATTATATTTGAGGCCACCTAGATTATGTGCATTGTTCCGACCGAAATTTTGTGCACTGAACCGAACCAATTGTTCGATTTCACGGGCTCACACACCCTATATCCTGGACATCACAATCTAATTGCAAACCACTATTCGGGAGTTACAAGTGCCACCCAAGCCCTATTTCTTTTAAGTAGGGCCACCGAAACGAGTTTGATTCCACACAAAAGCGTAACTTTGATTGCCCGCGACAGTCACTGAAAAGCACCAACAGTGGTTAGACCTAGGTAGCCTATGTTTCGGCATTCTGTGACGGGAAGTTTGTACAAGACAACATAAAGGTTTAGTGACGGAAAGACCACATACAAGCAACTGATTCAAGAGCAGCGCACATAATATAATGTTTAGGTTCGTGGCCAGGAAATCAATGCTGACAAAAGTCCACTGAGCTAGTGCAAGTTCGCGTAGCGGCAGCAAGGGCGAATGCTTGCGTCAGAAAGCCAAAAAGCTTTCAAATTTGAGGATTATGTAGCAAACTTGACAATGGCGACACTTTTCTGGACAGGAAACTCAATGTGCATTTGACAAAAACGCAATCGCATATTCCATGCGAAGTGCGCGCGGCCAAGCTAGTAGCCAGAGCCACACCGGCACCAGTGCAAAGGTTACTAGGACACCCAAGCAACCTCCCTTCTTCCACACTTGACGAGCCCACTGAGCTGGCATAGCGATGCCGAAATATTTTTTTTTCTTTTTTTTGTTATTTCAGTTAGCGTAAAAGGGCATCAAACAGCAACCGTGCAAATACAGTACAGAACTACTGATAAAGGCCAAGTTCGGGGTGTACCTATTATGCTCGGAAATAAAAAAAACTAATTTCTAGGCACCAAACTGGGGGTGCGCCCTATTATGGGAGTAAATACGGTATGAGACCGTACATTGCCCATCACAGAAATTTCGAGTGTCACCAGTGAATTTTTAAGAGCAGTAAATCACAGTGAGGGTTAGAATTGTTAAATTACCTTACTTGGAGAACCAGCTTTTGCGGGCACTGAATTTTTTTACATGCATTGGCTTTTGAAAAGAGAATGACAATAACATAAAACAGATGTTGAGGCTCGTTATGTCTTGCATCAAAATTGGTTAAGGACTACGTTGGCAAACTGACTGAGGTTCAAATCGGTTGTTGGAACAAACCTAGTCATGAAAATTGGAGCCCGCTGTTGAGCGGTCACCTCCGCAATATCTGGGTCAGGTGACCACTCACCATATCCGGTCAGTTTCAGTAAAGGCCATGCTTTTTGGAACAAGACACATTTGGCAGCAAAGCCTGACCTCTCATACACAAGAGCATGAGCTCTTGTGTATGAGAGGTCAGGTGTATGAGAGGTATGAGAGGTCTGTTGTTGGGTGCCCTCAAGGTGATTTTGAATGCTTATGCCAAGGAATTCTTTTTGTTTTTTCAGAAATAGAAATGCTTAATGCACCCCCATTGTTTTATTCTTCACCACCCGCACATCGTCCTATTTAAAAAAAGCGTACTCAGAGTCGCCAAATCTTGAATGCACGTAGTCTCAGGTAGTGCCCCGCTGGCAGGCACTAATTTCTTATGGTATTTAGGCGTTTCAAACTGACGCAAAATCGTTCTGAGATAATGACTTTAGCATTAATTATATGATGCATTAGAACTTTTCAGATTTTTTTTTTGGCATTACCAGACATAAAGCTGTTAATTACCGTAAAAAAGTCGCGAACAGAAGTTTTGCTGCCAGGAGTTTTTTCCTCAATGGCTGCACCAGTTTTATTTTTTTTACAAGACTTTTCCTAAATATTAGCAATTGATTTCATTTATTGATTCCCATTTACCACACAAGAAGAATGTAGCCAGAAATGAAGGTGAATGAGGGATCAAATCAAATCAAATATTTGAAAAACCAGGAGTGCTCAGAAGAGATGTATGGAAGTACTAGTGCGCTTGAAATTTTGCAAAGAAAAGTGTCATTGGCACGAGTGAAATGACAAAAAATGACAGGGTGTGGAAGATGGAAGCTTGTAATGAACAAATCTGTAGGCAAGCTAGAGCTGACGTTTCAAAACGTCTGCTCAACGTCGACAGTGGAGCACACAACCCTTGTTCTCAGGTTCTCTTCCGCGAGTAACGACGCACCTTGAGGGGGAGCTGACCTGCGACGAAAGACCTGCCCGTCACTCTGACCACACGGCCAGGTTCAGTGAGGACTAGTGGTTGAAGGACCCCTGCAAGCGGCTGGGCACACACCTCGACCAGGCCACCTCCCTTAGGGTAGTAGCCCCTGTGCAGAGCAGTCAATCAGCTCATTTTGTCCACCCAGTGTAAACTAGGCTTGTGAAGCTAGCAAAAAATTTTAGATTCAGAGTGAATAGCGCAAATAGAACACATCACTTAAATAAACTAACATAAGTGTCATAAGCCAACCACTCCGCACATTTATTCATTTTCTAAATCAAGGCATGTGCAAATGTGATTCTTTTCGGTTCAAGGGAAGTAGAAGCAATATTGAAGAGAAGTGGTAGAGTACAAGCGATAACCGGTAAAATATGTTATATTTTGACAATTCCTATACTTTAGAGCATATAAGCTGGTATAACAAGCTTTTGAATTTCAAAAATGATGAATGAATGCAATGGTAATATGCTGATTTAATCTTGAAGTGAAACTTTGTGGCAGTGTGGATTTCACCCTGGAAAAGTTCTCCTGGAATATTCCAAATATTTGCACAAGCCTGACACCTAACACACATACACAGTGCTAACCTTCAACAATACTGCTATGCCCAGTGCTTGCTTTATTTTTATGTACTTGAGTTTCACCCACAAAAACTGTTAGCAATGCTCAGCACGAACTGCACGACAGTGTTCGTGAAGCTTCACAATTTTCTGAGATCATTCCATCAAGATTATGCCCAAGACTATTAGAGTCTTTTTCAAGTTTTTTTTTAAGATTGCTCGCAAGTACCAGCAATGATGCCACGTGCACAATTACCAATGTACATTACAGCAGATCAGGTTATTGACAACCGATGCTATGCTAGCTCCTATCCTTGTAGAGAGTGAATCGCTTGTACCTCGTCTTTTCAGTTCCTGGGCATAGGTTCATCCAAAGAAAAAGCTCCGCTCTGGCACATATGCTGCTGCCTTCGTCAACATCACAACCATGTGACAATACGTAATATTAAAACTTAGCCCTGCGTATGTGTGTTACATGTCTTTCTTTACACCCCGTCTTAGATTGTACGGTGGCAAACACATGCCGAAACATGTGTTGAATATGAGAGCAGCATGGTCATTCACGATCAGTAGTCTTATGCGAACATTTGGGCACTTGAAATATTTGAACTTGCTTCGGTTCAAATTTAAATTATGTGAAATATAGACATAAAAAACAAGTGTGTTAATCTGCACGTAGCTCGCCTGTAAAAATGGTTTCACTACAATAATAGGGTGCTATAATGTGAATACATCTATCCATAGGATATTGCACTGCCTCGATGCCCCACTTTAAGGAATCTACTAATACCATCCCATTGATTCCACATTTTTTAAGGGGGAACGTGGGTTCTAAAATTAAAAAAAAAATTTTTTTTGCTCAATCTTAACTAAACTTCACTACCTAACCTAGTTTTTCATGCTGATTTCAAATCTCTAATTTGTTTCTTAATATTTCAAGTGGTTTAGAAAATATGAAGGTCTGAATCTTAATTATTTGCGTACTTCTTACGCGACTTCTTGGCAATTTATTCTTGCTAAATCCAAAAAGTGAATGCATAATCCCAATGCTGGAGACTTGCTGTAGGGGGTGATGCTATTTTTATCCATTTGAAGGCATTTTACAAGCAAAAAAATGGACGCACTATATTACAATAAATTTCTCTCACTAAAATCTTCAATGGTAATTTTTGAAGTGATGCTAGAGAAATAGAAATAGCACCATTTAACCATATGGTGTAGTAGCGCAAATTTACGAGGACGAAGAGGACAAGAAAACACGACACTTGCTACTGTGTTGTCCTCTTCGTCCCCGTAAATTTGCGCTACTACACCATATGGTTAAATGATGTCTCACCAACTAGCCCAGCTCTCAACCCTACAGAAATAGCACCACCCCCTAGATCATGTCAAGGCGAATAAAATGATACCAACTTTGTCGCATTCACTCAAGTTTAACATAGGAAAAACCCCCGTAAAGCCGAGTGCAATGTGCAAAAACAACGAACTGAAAAAAATGCGTTTGAAGTTTCTAGCAACTTTAACTTTTGCTAAAGTGAAGCTACAGCGATATTAACGACATCATTTTGTAGCTCTATATTATAGGATAAATGACCATGCTAAATTTCACTGTACCCACCCAGAATACTGCTCACAGCTTGTTCTAGAACTATAAAATAGTCATTGACTCAGCATGAGAATTATTATTTTTTTACTTTGTGGTCATTCCAGTGCCTTGCAAGTGAAAGGAACAAAAAAAAAATCATGTAATAATGTTGTCCTTGGATAGACAATAGATTTACACAATGTTTAGGTCTAAAACCAAGACTAGTTATTTTTGCGAAAATTCTCACTATTTGCCATCATGACTGTTTACAGCAGACCAGGGCTGTAAGCAGAATCCCCTGCTGGCTTGTGATGCTTTGAAAGTCTTTCCTTTATTCAACTGCTGTCGAGATGCTCTCTTCGCGATTTTTGCAGTTTGCCCTTGTCCTTCTCAAGGCTGCGACGCACCAAGTTATTGCCAGCGCTGTAGCCCAGCTTCTCGGCAATTTCCACGTTGCTCTTGGTTGTGCCTTGGTTGAAGCGGCTGATGGCTTCGGCAACTGCCCTTTCAATGCTCCGCAAGGATGCATGCTGAGTTTTGGGGGCCTGCTGCCAAATCATAGCGTGCAGGCTCTCACTTGCGTTCTGGGTGATCCCATCGCTGCACCTTTCCAAGAGGGCATTGTCGCTCAGCCGCCTAAACACAGGCTCCAATGCCTCAGTTACGAAATCAAGCAGGCTGTCCTTGTGTGGTGGTGGCTTCTCATTTTTCGCAAGAGCTCTCTGAAATTTGCACCAGGATTCAGGGCCTTCAGGGCAAAGGTCATGCTTTGGTGCCTCGTCAGTTGAAGACATGTGGTTCAATGTCAGGTGCCGTCATAAATGACGTCGACGTTTCCGGGCGCGTTGCCGAACTCCGCATAGAGCTCCTTGACGTGAGCACCGCTCGCCGCTTCGCATTCAGCAGCAGTTGCACAGCAGGCTTTTTTCATTATATTCATGTGGCTTTGGTAACTCCTGTGGTGAAGCCCTCGATGCGAAATATTCATCCCGGCGAAGAAGTCCGACAGAGCCGTTGCCCCCTTGCCGGTACTGTTGATAGCCTTCATGGCACGCATATTAACTTCGAACTGCCTTATTTTGGCGTCGGTCTCGTCGGCTAAACGTGGGGACGAAAAACGCCCTTCGCGAAAGTCACAACTGCCGCACGTGACTATGAGCTTCAAACACAGCCCGTACTCTTTCTTGGCCTTTGAAATAGTGACGCTTCTTTCACCGCATTCTGGGCACGGGACAAGTCCAAATAACGAGCGTATCGCTGCCAGATCAACAATAACGAAGTCTGTCGTCTGTGCCATTTTCTTTGCCACCATCCTCCAGATCAATATTTAGTAACTCGAACTTACGTTCCGTCACGCACTGTGATGCAAGAGATGCCTTCAAGCCCGCTGCATGTCTCGCGCACTCAGCAAACTCGTCCGCCGAATAAAACGTCGTGTCAATGCGGTCTAGGATGCTGCTGGAAGTGCAAGGTGACGATCCGACGACGACACAATCCGATAAGGTGCTGCTGCAAGGCACAGGAAAGCGCACCGCTTCGGACACAAGCGGCCGCGGCGGCGAGCCGTCGTCGGAATGCGCCGCTTCGGCGGCATCAGGCGAAATCGGCTGCACATTGTCGGCTGCTTTCTTCTGGCGGGCGTTCCACGGGCACCTCCGTTTCTTGCCGTACGCTTGGCACGTCTTTTTCTTTAGACGAGCGTCTCCAATCATGCCAGCAAAAGACGGAAAGTCGGCGCATCGGTCGCGTAGCACAAGCAGATACGTGCGGGAAGCAGACGAACAATGTGCGCGAACGGGAACCGGTGGCAGACGAACAATATACAAAAAAAAAGCGCGGGCAACTTTGGCCACATCGGCCAATGGGAAGCGAAGAACAGGGGGCGCGCGCTCCGGCCAATCAGCGGCCCAGAAGGGGGCTCCGGAAAAGGGGCGAGGGCAGCCGTTCTGTTTAAGCGACGCCATTTTGAAGGCTGGCAAAATGCGCACAAAGGAATCAGCTTCAAAACAAGCCCAAGATGGCGGCGATCGGCCGACTGCCTTGCCGGCGGCGCGCGCGGGAAGCTTGAACGAATTCGACCTGCCGTGGGTTGTTTTGCGGCTCCCGTGGCGACTTCATAATCAATTTTAATCCATTTACTGATCGAATTCAGCACTCACAATTTGAGGACACGTGCTTATAGGTCTAAAAATTTCAAATATCGCATTTTCTCAAAATCGACATTTTGGCCATTTTACACCATTCTAAGACCTGCGTCCCCCTTTAACGTTCAAAGGCTTGTTATACCAGCTTATATGGTCTAAGCAGGATAAATTTGAAAATGTAACATATTTTACAGGTTATCACTTGCGCTCTACTGACAGTCAAAACCTGCAATTATTTAAAGTTGCTTACATTTCCTTTGAGCCAAAAGGAACGAAACTTGCATCCCTAACCTTAGCCACCAAAATTTGTATTCCCCCTCCCCCGTAATAAATGTCCCCCTTAAGTTCATCCCCTGCAGTCCCGCTAATCGACATCTGGCGCCTCCTCACTCATTGGATCTCTTCCATTTTTCATTACTGTGCCGACCCCCCTCAACCATCTCGGCTTGCTTTCTCTCCTCTTTCGCCAGTTGCCACATGCGGTATTGCTTTTCTTTCTACATTCGCACGGCACAACCTCCGTCTTAAGGGCGTCCTGCAACACTTTTTGAGCATGGTCAGAAAACGCTGCCAATCGGTAGTAGAGGCTCCCGACAACACGGGAGCCAAATATTATAGCACAGCACGGAGTCAGAAATTCACAATAAATTACCAAAGTCAGCTAAAAATTGCTTTCTCTTCTCTTGGCCAATGGCGAAATATGCCCGAAAATCACACGTGAACTACCCACCTATCAGCCATTGGCTGATTTGAAAACAACGCGCGCGCGCTCGTTACAGAGATTGCTGTGGGAGGCCGCAACTTGTCCTCGCATGCG